ACCGAACTAGAAATAACCACAAAGGATAAAGTTGCGTTTATAGTTTTCATTTACATGATCATGGGACATAAAGCAGTACTAGATACCACAAAATCTAGACAAAATATTTAGCCGACACAAAATTAAACAGTACGTATTGAAAACGGAGAAACAGACAAAATAAAACTAAATAGATTAATTTATTAAAAAGAAAACACAGTAACACAATTACTAAATACAAACTATACGATATGCGTCTTTCAAAAATAAATATTTGTTTTAAAAATTAGAGCAATAATAAAGGTATGTACCTGCATGACGTCGAACACATGTATAAAGCAATAGTTTATGGCTTTTTGAGTAAAATGGCAAATTTTGAGTAAAATGTATACAATGATATCTGCAAGAAATTTAATTTGTTTAAAAGTTTTGTATTGTCCTCGTAATAGGTAGACTAATGGGTTTGAAAACCGTCCGAAGGTCACCTTACAATATCACATAATTTAGGAATAATAAATGAAGTGTAACAAAATACACACACACACACACACACATACACACACACGCAAGGCACAAACAAATTCATATAGCACACAATCTCCTTTTAGATAGCCAAACACACATATAAAGCGTCTAATTGACAGACTTTATCATATTATATTCCATTGTTCCTGTTTACCATCAAATAGACTCAATGAAATATTTTTGGTTAGCTATTAGTTTATAATACAAACACAATAACACACTGTACACTATAACATGATGCTATTAAACATGTATCTGAAATATAACACATCATTTTTAGTTACTGGTATCATATGGTTCGCACTGTTCCCTAATCAACATAAATGCTTCTTTCTGTTCAGATTTAGTTGCAATATATTTTTCCAGATTATAGTGGCCTATAAAAAAAAAAAAACTTTCAACCCATCTAATCCAGGCATGACCCCTTTCACTATAAATATACATGTAATGATTTGAAAGGAATTTAAAGGTTATTCATCCATTCCAAATCTGTCTGTATTTCCTTTTTCACAAATATATCCATTTTTAAAAAAAAAATGCACTTGGCACAATATTTACGTTCATTTTGATCCAAATTAAGTGGGATGCATCAGTCTACATCCTAATTATCACATTACATTCCCAGAAACAAACCCAGTATTTTTTTGCCGGGATATTTTAATAACAGTTTATTTATCAGTATCAAACAGTTTATTTTATACAGAAATCAATTAATTGGGAAAATTCTATGTGTAACACGAAATTGAAACCATTGTAATTTTGAAATTTTTTTTATTGTAAAAGATTTAGCATATATGTCAGACTTATATCCATATTCAAATTGAAAATTTCATTCCATTTATTTTCACTGGTTGGAATAACATCCTGTTTTAAAAGTGATTTGCAATAGTCTTTTCATCCGAAAAGGGATAAATAGTCAGACCAGTATTGTTATATATAACTATAATTTTTTACATAAGGACATTACACCCTGAATTACACCTTGAAAGGCGGGGAAATTCCTTTCGAGATCATATTTAGCTTTATAGCATTCAAAGTCAGTAATAGTTCCGTGATCTGTAATCACATGACGAACATAGATTACGTTGTATTCAAACCATTCCTTGCAGAAAATGGGTACTTTGTTCACCATTATAAGGATATTCATGTATATACTTGTTTTCATAACATAATCTCCTGTACGGGTTATATTTTTCTCTATTAACAGTTTCCAAGTAAGTAAAACATAAAGCCAAAAGACATTTTTGTGTTGTTAAGGTGATCACATTTTCATATCTTAATAAAACAGGCATTTAATTCGCTTATTTCGTATTCAACTAAATTGACCAATTTTCTGTGAAGTAGAAGAACTATACAGGTCCGTGTTATTTTCAAAGCTAATATAAATTTATCAATATATGTCATCACCAAGCGACATACAGAAAAAGTTTGAATCAAAACCTTTCTTTTAACTTTCTCCACTTTCATTCCCATATCAAGATGAAAAATTAATTTATTCAATTCTCTGATTAAATATTTTGGAGGATTTTAAAATGAGATTAACAAATGAGCACGATTTGGAATAATAAAGGTTTTCAAAACTGCTATTTGTTTCCAGTTAGAGTTAAGGATCCCTTTTCCCAGTTTTTTGAAACAAATTAATAATTTTTGTTTTATTTTTAAAATTCATTTTTATCATTGCGTCCTAATCCACCAAAAACGTTATGTGCAGTGATGTAAAATCAGTCACCCACTGTAATTTTAACTTATGACGAAATGTTTTTGCACTGTACTGCTTGCTTCCTATCTAAACTGCTTTCGTTTTAGCAATGTTTAGTTTCAGTCCAGAATTCCTTGCAAAAAAAAGTTGAATACCTGAATACATGATTCCAAACATTTCAAAATAACCATCAATAATTAAAGTTGTCACCTGCAAACTGTTACAGTAGAAATTTTATTTCCCTTAACTTCATGCCTTTTATATTTTTTTACTCTCTAATAGTATAGGCAATATTTTTGCATAAAGAAGAAGAGAAATGGGATAAAGGATCACCCTGTCGACAACCTCTGTCAATTTCGAAGGTGCAGGATAAATAAGAATTCGGAACAAAAACACATGCAAGCATTTTGCTTAGCTATATGGATGAGACGATGAGAAAAATATTTAAACAATAAATAAAAAATAAGCCTGAAACCTGAATACTGAATGATACTGTTACGTATATAAATTGTATTACTTGTGTTTTAGTTTTAATTGTTTTATTTAATTTTATTTCATTGCAAGTTATTCACTGGATTTTTTTCTTTTCTTCAGAAAATCCAGTTCAGTTCAGCCCACGTGTTAGCTCTGATGTAAATAAATCTTTATTATTTTTATTATTGAATCCCATAGTAAGATTCGTTCAGCAGTCAAATTAATCCAAGGTTTACGCGACACTCGTCCTGTTCTTTTACTGCGTTGTTTGAGCTAAGTGACCACGTGATTCCACCATGTGATATAAAATTGAGGGTGAAAACAGATGTTTTGTATTGAAATAGTCATTCGTATTTAAACACTTTTGGAGCTCAAATGTATTTTGTTAAGGAGTTAACTGGGAAAAATTTGGAAAGCATGGGAAAATATAAATTCTTAAAAAATACAAAGTTTAATTTTTAAATACATCCATAATGCCTGGTTAAAAGGAGAAATAGCTAAAAGAAGGCATATGATTATTAATATACCTAAATGTCCATTACGTAAAAAGTTTTAATTTAAAAAAAAAAAAAAAACATGTTATTCTAAACTGCTAAACTATAAAAAGAAAACGCGATGAAATTATTAGCATAATTAAAAAGTATGGGGATTTTAAAGTAGGGGCAATATTATACTTATATGGCGAATTTTCAAAATTAGAATATATGAAAATAATTAGTTTTATAATATCTACGATGAAAACATGTGGGCAAATTATAGATATTAGAAAATAACTTTGTCTTCTGAAGCTTCTCTTTGTTTTCCTTAATATATATTAATTTATTTTTTTTTCTATATTTATAGATAACTCTACACATTGAAGAAGTATGAGACAAGGACGTCGTAGGGCTATATCACATGGCGTTACGCGAAGTGGGCAGGCCTGCAAGGAAGAGCCTCAGAAAACCCCATGTGTAGTTTTATATAAATTTTCGGACCTTTTAATGTATATTTGGAAATAAATGCGGGAAGATGGGGTGCTATAGAAATAAAAGGAGGCACCCTATTTTCCTAGCAACAAATTTTGGAATAAAGGGGAGACGGAACACCACACATAACACATTGCGAAACAATAGGAATTTTTAAAAAAAATTTAGTATACACCGTCGAGCCCTAAAAAAATTAGAAACTTTCAAAAACTAGATCAAATAAAAATTTAAATAAATGTAAAGAAAAGAAAATAAATTATATGCATATAGTAGAAAGAATGCTGGAGTGAAAGAAGAAGGGGAGAATGAAGTGGAAAGAATCTGGCGCATATAATAAGAATAGACAACTGGGGGGATATGATATAGAAGGCTGACCTTACCACAAAAAAACAACAAAAAAAACCATATTATAACAACATACAAGAGCACCCAACACATAGCATTCACAGGACGTAAGGGACCTCTAGCCAAGGTCACCAAATAAAAAAATGGGAATGATTCTGATAAGGAAAATGAAGCCCTATCGGATGAATGAATCTTTATATACACTAGGGAAAATAAATACCCCATCAAAAAATGCTAAAATATTTTTTTAATCTAAATTCTTTTTGTACATAGAAACATACACATAAAATCTTTTCAGATACTTTTTTTTTTCGGTTAAGTGGGGGATATCTGTCTTGTGCCCCACCCCCCGAAAAAAAAGGTATTTTGTGTTGTGACCAGTTGAGTTGAAATCGTTAGCAAAATAATTTATTTTTCTTGGAAATACAAGTGTTTGTCATCAAATTCTTGGACAAAGACATTTATTGGAAATACAATACTGTATTGGAAGTACAATACTGCATTCATATGAGTTATCGTCGACCATCTTGGAACTTCATCGGGATTCGAACCTTGAGTCAATTAGAACTTTTTTGTGATATGACTTATATTTTCAAATACTAGTATTAATTTCTCGATTATATTTACAAACCTTAAGCCCTTTTTCGTATTTTTACATTGTTTTCTAGGGAAATAAATTATTTTGTTAAAATTTACAAAGCTTGCTTCACTCTTTTCTTTGTTACTTTTGAACGAGCCTAAACACGTAGCAATACAAACTTAATAATGTACATTTTGAATATGTGATTTGATATGGTTATGATTTTTAATGAAGCCTTTAACAATTTTTCAGTCATATCGCTACGATGTCCGCAAAGTGGCAGTTTATAGTGATATCTAGTTCTCGTGCATCATGCCGCAGACATGTAGCATGATGTCCCACCCAGTCACATTATCCTGACACCAGGCTGACCAGTCCTAACACTAATGTCTTAATGCTGAGCGTAAAGCGACGCAGCTGTTAGTACCATTTTTGTAAGTCTCGACCGGGCATCGAACCCACGACCTCCCGCATCCGAGGCGGACGCTCTAACCACTAGGCCACTACAGCGGTTTTTGAATATGTTGTTACTAGATTTGTAATTATTGATGCATTTGGTTGATTCAGAACATAAGCTCTTTATTTTTATTTTGATACATAGGACTATAAGATGATATTGATAACAGTTGTGTGCACAAGGTATAAAAAGATACATACAAACCTCGGCACAATCATCACAAGATCTGGAATAATTCACAAAAATGCAGTTAAATGATCTTTTTAATAAGTGAAGAAGAGAAAGAAGTATATTGATATCCTTTAATCATGCATTTGATCTATGATTTGGTATTAATCACTGCATCAATGTCATCAAAAGGTAAAATCTGAGTCTTCTTCCTGTTCTTGTCATGGCATAGACCTGGCAATTAAAGTACCAGGCAGATTCTATCTTTGAAAGCCTATTAATGGGACCAAACTTTATTAATTCTTGTGTAATGGTTTTATTTAAATTTTCCTTCGTCCTTTATCATGGTTATTGTGGAGTAATTATGCATAAATTTCATTACCGTCGTGTCTTTACACGTAGCTTCCTTGATTAAATTAACCGCTTTGGACTTTAAATTGTCAGTTTGATTCTCTGACATGTAAAATATTTTCTTTTTTTTTCTTCTAGAGTATTGTTCATTTTGTTTCGATTTCTGCAATTTTTTCGTTTGCCCGATGTACTGTGGTTTAGAGCTCTCAAAGTCATAATCGCCGTTTTTTATTTTCTAATTTTTCTTTCAATTGTTCATTGTCAAACACTACCGATTCATGTAAAAAGTTTGATTGTGGTGTTAGATGTGGTTATTCAGATTTAGTAGAATAGTATACATGTTTATGTCTGTAAATACATTTCATTGTGTAATCGAAAACCTTTTAGCGGCTTGCGCATTAAAATGCGTCTCCTTTATCCAAAGCATGTTAAGGCTTCGAGAAAAAAAATCTAGTTTCATCACAAATAGTTATTGTTCACATACGATGATGTACGCACGATTTCAGTTTATAAATAATATATTTTTTTACAAATAACATTATATTCACAAACTTGTAAAAATGAAGGACTTCACTGTTTAAAGCAATTTACTCTCTCTCTCTCTCTCTCTCTCTCTCTCTCTCTCTCTCTCTCTCTCTCTCTCTCTCTCTCTCTCTCTCTCTCTCTCTCTCTCTCTCTCTCTCTCTCTCTCTCTCTCTCTCTCATGTGAGTGTGTGTGAGAAAGTCTGCCAGTAGCTTCCCGTGGGTGAATGGTTCTTAACGGGGTTTTCCAGGATTCTTCTTATGCAAAGTACTGGCCGCCATATAGAGTCTATCATTTTCTGAAAATAGCGCTAAACAGGAACAAAAACAAAAACAACAGCTAAGGATAACATTAGATAAATGAAGTGATAATCTACAAAGTATAATACGTTCACGCTATCTATGCCTGGTGATTTTGATTAGGTTTTACAGCAGGTTTGTAAGACGTTGTGTACCTAACCAGTCAGGCCCAGGGTTAGAGAAAATAATGTATCTTATGTTTACATTTATAGTGTTGATTTATGTCCATCATAGTGGGCGAAAACGTTAGTAGTATTAAAATAGGAAGTTTAGAATTAAGTACAGATCTTGCTCAAAGTAATCTACCCTGATGATATTTTCTTAAGCCAATATGAAAGTTACCAACAGGTGCCCCTGCAGTAAGATTGTCTACATCTGCCACTCATATACGAAGAAAACTTTGGAGGGTACACCATTCACCATCCAGTGTCTGCAGCCATGCAAAAACAATAGTGAGAGAACCAGCGATGAAGAGATATAGGCGTGTGATTTTTACATCTCGAGCGCGAGTTGGAACGATTGGGCGATATTGGTATATCTTTGTCAACTATTCCATGCAAATTAATTGCTTAACGCAATCCTCGCACAAAGACGAAACGCACACAAAGAAGATCGAACGATAGCGAAAGTGCCATTGAAATAGTCGCCAAATGCAAGTACATTGCCGAAAATGAAAGGACGTGTCAAAGAGACGTATAAAGATCTGACTATAGACAGATCCACCCACATATACAAGGCAAACAGGACCTAAGCGCTCCGGCCAGACAAACTGCAGAGCGGTAATGGGGGGGTAGGGGTCAACGAACGCGTCCAGCATTACCATAATGCTTCTTTCCACACTACCATAGGAATGTGCGTAGATTGAGAAGTAGGGCCGATCGAGAAAATAATAGTGAAGTCGGTGGAGGTCATTGCATATATGCTATTTTGTTTTTCTATCGCCTATACAACAATGCATGCTCTATGGTCCAAGCAAATTTTAAAGAAAAACTTCGAAAATCTCTTTCAGGAATTGTTCGGTGTCTTGGATACAGACGCACCACAGAAGGTTGAAGAATTGCTCTTTTGGTGACTTGAGGACCAACCGAATGATGTGTAAAATTTTCAATAGTATGGAACACCGAGGATTGTTGGTAGCATTTGAAGAATGTAAAATGCATTTGTTGTGGAAACATTGATTGTGTAGAAAAATTTCTCGCAGATGTAGGGTTTGCATCAGATAGCGTAGTTCGAGAGGTAGCATCCATAAAAATTCGTGAATATATGTAGCTTCTAACTTATAAACTTGGTCTGTCTGCTGTAGAAGCAAAATGGAGTGGTCGCCAATGCTGTTTATATTGTCTAGAATTACCTTCTGCATCGTACATGTTAGTGTCTTCTCGTTGGATCATAAACCCAGTAAGTATACTAAAAGATGAAGCCGAAAACACCAGAAAATCGCTTGTGTGGTCTGTTGAGATCACACACGTGGGCGAGTAGTCTTTGTACAAAGTCTGCCAGACACATCTGCAGGTCTTCCATGTGTATTTTGGACTCATCTACCTTGGCTAAAAATATAACTACGGCATGTGTACTACCGTCGGAGTTGCTTTGCGACGTGAACGAAATTCCCCGTATCCGTTTCGATGTGTCCTATCGTTTATTATTCTATTCCGGAAAAGCTACGGAGACCAGCTGTGTACAAATTGCTGACGTCTATGTGAGTTGCGGTTCTCAGCGATCGTTTTATGCAGTGCTCCCAGGATTTTGGCAATATCTGCTTTTGCAGACCGCCATCTCTGTTTATAGAAAGTACGCTGCCTCTAGGATATACGAAGTCTTTGCGGCGAAGTTATCCAATCACGTATACATCGTTTACAAACGTCGGAAAACCGGAGACGGGCTGCAAATGTGTGCTACCCTCATTTTCCTGCCAAATAGTCGACAGTGGCGTTATACGGCGCTCGATTTCTCTCGTACGCATTTTCTTGGAGTGTGCGTAGTGCTAAGTTCTAATCCGACAAAGCATGCTGTGAAAAGTGGCATGCCCTTCTCGTCGCATTTTTGACATTTGTGTCTACGATGTGATCTGTTTTTTATGATTGCCAGGTATTTTTAAGCCACTTTATTTTCCATTTTCTAGTTAGTGGCTAAAACATTTCTCCGATTCTTTATTTGTTGTATAATAGGCGAAGTTTGGTTTTTCCATACATTACATTTTGTGCGGGGCATCGGTAGATAACGTACGAATACGAAACACACTACAGTCGGTACGAAAAGGGTGTTGTAGGCCCAAAATTATGGTTGCTTTGTAATTTTTTGTGTTCGTACAACTTGTCAGTTGGTAATTTTCACGCATCTCATATGTGGACAAAATCAAGGTGAGGGAAGTACACGACTCTATCAGGCCATTCGTACTGTATTAAATTTAGTCACAACGAGACATATATGTTTGAAAAGTAGAGACTCTAGCATATACGAATAATTGCCCTTAGAGTAATTTTTGAGTTATTGGTCGAGGAAGATGCATACTTAAGATTATTTTAAAATTCCGTAATCTGCAGCAGATCTTGAATATAACAATATTGACCTTGTGCTGTTGAATCACAAGTATTTAACATTATATCTTAATTAATGTATACATGTTATGTCATTCCCCCCGGCGGTAAGAGTTTGCTGTTGCAAAATACAAATTAACAATTTAATAACAAAAACTGGAATGACTAATTTTACGATTTCTTCAATACTATATTCAAGAATGAAAGCTTTACAATTGTATATCTCAATATTTTGTTAAAAGGTATGCTGTATGCAACAACAAGAGCAGAACTTAATGTTAAATGCTAAATGATGTAGTATGTGTTGTTTTTTTTCAGTGTACATGGTGTCTAGATGTATGCTAGTAATTAATTACAAAAGATTAAAACATTTTAGGGATGTATGATATATACACAAAACCTTGTTATGTTGTACTCCATGCAGACCATGCTTGCCTCTCTGCACAGATGCCTCCTGCATGCTTCGAATCTTTGAGTGGTCTTTGGTTGTGAACCTCTAGCATGCCTATTCATTACATCGGTTTTAAAAATAGAAACAACTCAGCTTTTTTAGCACATGAACAAAATTATCAAAATAGCTGTACCATCAACTCTCAAATACTATACTGTGTCTGTCCTATGTAAATTTATTTCATTTCATGAGGGGTTTTTTTCAGAATTTTGTGACTTTAAAGACATTCTATTTTTGGAAACCTTTTAAAAATTTCCCTGGACGTTTTTCAAGTTGAAGACGTTTATCAAGTTTTTAAATAAGTCCGACTAATTATGGTTCTTTTGTGTTTTATAAATTTACTATGTATTCAGATTTTGTTTATCTAACCTTGTTTTTCTTCACATTAGTATTCGCTATCTTAGATTTATTTACAATAAATTGTTTTTAAAGTTAACTATATTTCCAAAAGTTTTAAATGTTACTTGTAAGCTAGTTTACAAAGTAACTAAGTAACTAATTTAAAATCTAATTTAAGAAATAAAAGATATGGATTTCAACACCTGTTCCAAATGTGGAGAAGAGAATAACAAAGCTCATTTTGTTTCAGTTAAATCCTTTGACAAGAAAGCAATGATGTAGTTGAATATCAAACGGACATTTATATAAACAAATGTTAATTTTATGGGGATTTTCCCACACATTGTTCTTTTAACTTGGTTGATGGTATTGTCAGCAGATTATT